TAATACTTTCTATAGAGCTTGTTTGCCTTCGGGATTCCATTGACTTGAATCAGGTTGACGTGTGATTTGTAATAAGACATATAGAGGCTGGGCCATTAATGAAAAATTTCAAACCTAATTGTGACAGTATCTAGTTAGACCCAGGAAACCTTTAAGCTGTTTTGTGTTTGTTTGTTTGTTTTTGGAAGAGGAAAGGTTGAGATTTCTTTAAGTCTTTCTGGATCAATTAGTAGTCCATCTTTAGATCAGAATCCAAGTTTGTCCCTTGAGACCTTATGTCCCTTTATGGCTAGCTGTTGTAATAGGTAAATTGTATTGTCTTGGGAGTCTAATACGTTCTAGAGCATAAAAGTCATCCACATATTGGAATTTCTGGGAAACTCAGCATCGTTTAAATCAGCTTTTAGGATCTGAGAAAAATAGGTGGGACTCTGTATATCCCTGGAGCATTACTGTCCTAGTAAATTCTCAATCTTCCCAGGTGAAAGCCAAGAGGTATTTTCTGTCGTTTTCTACAGAAGTGCTAAAAAGGCACTACATAAATCTATTACTGAAAAATATTGGCAGTCCACAAGAATGGCTGATAGGTGGGTATGTGAATTTGGAACCATAGGATATCTTTTTTTTTTTAAAGAAAGTAAACTTCATCTTTAATGGGGGATGGAAAGGAAGGGCTGTCCCGACGCCAATGGGGTTAGGGTGTCAGAAGCTTGTCCCCCTGCGGGCTGTTGGCTTGTGCCTCCTGTATCTGGCTCTGCAACTAACCAGCAGCGTCCTTGCAGTCATGAAAAGTGGCTGTGCGATAGTCCACAGTGCCCAGGGCATAGCAGCCAGCGGACACCAGCAAGTAGGGAGACAGTGGCCACAGGACTTCCCGACATGACGAGGGCAGCTCCAGGCCCAGGGCTTCCATGGTCAGGGCTGCCCAGGCGGAACCCAGGAGAGCCAGTGCCTAAAGCCACAGTGCTAATTTCGACATGGTCGCCTCGGGGACGCTCCACCGTCGCTCTCGCCTGCCCCATTCAGTGTTGAAGCTGCACGTATTCTCAGGATGTCTTTCTTTATATCCATATCTATGAGATCCTGTATCAATCTCCATTGTTTTCCATTTGGTTTCTTTAATGGAAGGATAGGAGAATTACAGGAGCTTATACATAGAATTATAAGCGCCCCCTTTCAAGTAATCTTATATAATAGGCTTAATTCCAGCTAGTACATCAGGTCTTAAAGGATATTGGTGAAATATTAGGTAGAGGCAAAGTATTGTCAATAGTTATTTTAATAGGAGTGGCTGACTTAATATTGCCAATATCTGTACTGGAAAAAGCCCAAAGTTGCATTGGAACATCCTGTGAAAACATTCAGTCTCAAGATTAGTTTCTTCTTGTGGAGGTTTTAAAAAAATCATTATTTTCCAAATTGGTTTAGTATCTGATTCATTTAGTTCTAAATACATTTCACCCTGGGAAATGGACATGTGGGCATCATTGGTTTTAAGAAAGTGTTGCCCTATGAAGTGAATTGGGGCAGATTTGACTAGTAAAACTATACGTTGCTCTGTAATTTTCCCTAGCTGGAAGGGAACAGATTCTGATTTAAAAACAGACATTGGTTGATTAGATGTCCTTACTATTTGTACCAAGCTTAGTCTGAGGGAGTGAGCAATTTAAGAAAAGATAAAGTAGCCCCAGATCTACAAAGGCCTTGGTAGTTTCCCTTTTTATGGTAATTTCAGTTTCCCCTGAAGTGTTAATAAGGAGAAGGGGAAATGTGCTCTCATAGTTCTTGCTTGCTACTGTTTCTTTTTTCTAAATCCCATTTCAGTCTTCTACAATTCTTCTTAAGGTGACCTGAGTTTTTACAATAAAAGCAGTCTCCTTTACAGGAGTTTCCCAGCAAACCTTAATTCCTTAATTCTGTATAGTACAAGGAGAGTAGATTATGGCTGGTTCTCCTTGTGCTGAGACTGGCTTTTCTCTTAACGGGAGCTGCCAGAATTTCTCTTTTGGTTTTTCCTGGTCTATCCTGGTTTGGTTTTCTATTCTGAGTCTCCTATAGGTCAGTAGGGAGTTCCATGGAGGAGGAGTAGACGAGATAGCCAAGGGGGAGGAGGAAAGGAGAGTGAGACCCCACCACAAAGTAAAGGGTACAGCTGGGCAGTTGGAGAAGAGGGAGGAGTAGGGTGTTGGCATTGAGCAGCTTATTTTAGCTGTCAATCTCTTTGCCTCATAATTTTTTCTATTGATTTATAGTTTGGGTTTTTTTTTTGTTGACTAGGACTTCCAATACAGTATTGAATAGAAGTGATGATAAAGAGCATTTTGTCCCTGTCTTTTAAGTAGATTCACTGTTGATTTATAGAAGTTAACCCTCTATAAAGTGAAGGGCTTTGTGTGTGTGTGTGTGTGTGTGTGTTAATTTGTTAAGGAGTGAGTTTACAATTTTTATTACACAAATAATAAGTGGACATATTTTTATTACAAAAGATTGAAAATGTATAGAAATTACATGAAAGTTCTTTGTATCTTGCTCTACTTTTATTCCTATCCCCAGATATACACTCATATTACTGTTACATTTGGTTTGTATCATTTTACTTCTTTTGCTATACCTTTTTATACATTTAATGTATACATGTGTACTCATAATTTTATTTATTTTTATAAAGCTAGGTGTTAGGTTTTATCTCACATTTCATTTCATTTAGCAGATTTTAAGTACGTATCATGTATCAGGCTCCTCTAGGCTTTAACATTTTGTTCATTCCACGAATGTTTCTTAAGTGTTTTCTAAGTGCTAAGCAATGTCTTAGGTGCTGCTGATATAGCTGTGAAGAAAAAGAAAAGTCCTGCTCTCCTAGCTAACATTCTAAAAGTTCACATAGGAAAAAAAAAAGTCAAGTGATGATAAATGGTGTGAAAAAAGTTAAAGGAGGATAAAAGAATAGAGATTAACTGAATCGCGATGTTAGATGTGTGGTCAGAAAAGTATTTCTGAAAAGGGGACATTTTAGCAAAGGCTTGAAAGAGATGGAGCAGCCATGCAAATCCTCTATTTGGGGCAAGAGACTTGGGCTGAGAGAATAGCAAGCACAAAGCCCCTGGTGCGGGGAGCCTGTTTGGAATGTTTAAGAAACAACAATAAAGTCATTTGGTCAGAACAAAGAGAATGAAGTAAGATTGGAGAGATAGTGGGGGACCAGATTATATGGAGCCTTCTAGGCCCTGGTAGGGATTTTAGATTTTATTCCAAGTATGATAGGAAGCCATTAATGGTTTTTTGAAACGGGAAATGGCTTTGTATTAGTTTGTTAGGGCTGCCATAACAAAATACCACAGACTGGGTAGCTTAAACAATAGAAATGTATTTCCTTACAATTCTGGAAACTTATAGTCCAAGGTCAAGGTGTCAGTAGGTTTGGTTTCTTTCAAGGCCTCTCCCTTTGCAGATGGCCGCCTTCTTGCTGTGCCCTCACATGGCCTTTCATCTGTGTGCACACACGTCTAATGTCTCTGTGTCCAAATTTCCTCTTATAAAGACACCAGTCAGATTAGATTAGGGCCCACTATAATGGCCTTGTTTTAACTTAATCATCTCTTTAAAGACCCTATTTCTTTCTTTTTTTTTTTTTAATTGAGCCATCCTGCCACCTGTTGGCAGCTCAGCGGCTGCTCAGCTCAGGCCAGGACTCGAACCGCTGTTGCTCAGAGCTCAAACTCTTGAGCTAGCTCTTAACTAACTGAGCCACTCGTCCGGCCCCTAAAGACCCTATTTCTAAATACAGTCATATTCTGAGATATGAGAGGTTAGGACTTCAACATATGACTTTTGGGAGAACACAGTTTAGCTCATAACATGCCTGATCTGCGTTCTTCAGGCTGCTGAGGATAGACTTGAGGTACGTAAGAGGGGGTAAGGAGTAGGCTGGGGTATTGAGCTTATTTAAATGTGATTTTTGATATCGAAAGGAGATAAATCCATGTGTGTGTTCAGCCTTCCATCTTAATCCAGTCTCCCTTCCTTGTCTTCGCACGTTATTCTATCCATTTTCTGCTAAATGAACTTAAAAAAAGAAATCATCATTGCTTAAGTGTACCTTGTCTCAGAGGCCTTCCCTGACTGCTTCCTTTTTTCTAACTTTATGTGTTACCTCTGTCATTTCGTATTCTAGTGGCTTAATTGTATTGTTTTGTACTAGACAGTGAGTGCCTGATGGTGAGGAATGTGTTTTCATGCTTTTTACCATCAACAGAACATGATATCTGAGACATTAAAAGCTGCTAAGTAAATGCTTATTGAATAACACATGAAAAAATGAATATAAACAGGAGAAGTTTGTAGTTGACACCCAGTCATCAAACTGGCACAACAGCATTACTAGAGAGGATAATCATCTTCCCTCAGGACTACTGGTCTGTGGGATTTAGTTTTCTTAAAGATGTAGCAATGTTTTTAGTCCATAAAAATTGGTGACTGGTATAAAATATCAAATACATTTTACCAAAGGGAATCAACAGAATTTAAATATTTGAGATTTTGCTGTAAATATTTAAGCTGACATGACTGCTCTGTATATTGAGGGATATGTTTCTCTTAAGTCTAGTATGGTAGCATGTTTATTAAGTACTTACAAATTTAAAAAAATAGTAAGGGAGGCTGAGTGGTGGGTTTAACTTCTAAAATTTTAACTTCTAAGATTTGGTTTTTGAGTAAGTAAATATATTTTCATAGTTCAAAATTTAAAAATACAAACGGTGTCTACAACACACCCTGTGTATATAAAATGCAAATAGTGAAGTGTCTCTCTTATCCTTTCCCTCCAGCTACTCAGAAACTGATAAGCTTTGGAGGTTCCCCTTTAAGAAGCAACCTATTTTATTAGTTTAAAAATAGTGTTGGTTTTGTGAATGTATGGTTGGATTTTAAAAAAATTCTGCTAAGCTGGTTACTTGTATCGATGTAGTGTAATGAATAGCTGATTCAATTTTTTTTTTTCCTAGATACATCAAACTACGAAATGGCTTGCAGGCACTTTTGATTTCAGACCTAAGTAACATGGAAGGTAAAACGGGAGATGCAACAGATGATGAGGAGGAAGACGAAGAAGAAGACGAAGAAGATGAAGAAGATGAGGACGATGATGATGAAGATTCTGGAGCTGAAATAGAAGATGATGATGAAGAGGGTTTTGATGATGAAGATGAGTTTGATGATGATGTTGAACATGATGATGATGACCTTGATACTGAGGATAATGAATTGGAAGAATTAGAAGAGAGGGCAGAAGCCAGAAAGAAAACCACTGAAAAACAGGTGTGCATCATGTCTATTATATCATTTCCTAATTTGGGAATTCTTTGGGATAAGTCCTAAACGTATGTTTTATTTCTTAATGGCAAAAAGGAAGTATATATTTATGTTTGGATCATCAGTAAAGGTCTATTTTTTTTCTGTATAAAGATAACATTTATAAACATTTTGCTCTGATTATAAAAGTGACATGTTTATTATAGAAATTAATGAAAAATAAATAAAAACAAAAATATAAAAATCACCCATAACCATAACTCTCAGAGGTAATCACTGGTAATATTTGAATTTATGTGTAATTGTGCACATGATATATTTTAAAAACAAATGTTGGGAGATGAGGATCTGCATAATTCTTAGCCTGAAATAGAGGAATAAGAGAGCGTATTATCCTTGGAGAGACTGAAAGAAGAAAAGGAACAGGGCTAGTATAGAATCCTCACCTGTGGGTATTTCTGTCTATTATAGGTAACTGAATGTGATTTATCTCTTATGGGAAAGCACCAAAAGTCTGGATAAATAACAAGCAGATTGGAAGAATTGAAATAGAAATGGGGAGTTGAGCTTAGTTAGTGAACATATAATAACAATCAATGAATAGATAAATAGGGCTAATAAGGAGAATTTCCCTCTCTGGATATCTTTGGAAGAATACCTCCATTTTACAGGGGGGAGTAACTATATTAGAGGATAATATTTTGGAGGCATTACTGTGGAATTGGTCGGCAAATATTTGTTGAAGCTAGTTTCTTGAATATTACTAATACATTTAACATGGTACATTCCACATACAAACGAATTAAAGTTCAGATTATTAAGAGTAAAATCTAGATGTCAAATGTATTATGCTGTAAAGCGGTCAGTCCTCAAAAATGTGAAGTTGTGAGATAGGTTTTAAATAAATCCTTTGATAGTCACTCTTCCTGGAAATATTATTATTATTATTATTATTATTATTATTATTTTGTTGTTGTTGTTATTTAAGCTGAGCCATCCTACCACCGGTTGGCAGCTCAGTGGCTGCTCAGCTGGGGCCGGGCATCGAACCGCTGTTGCTCAGAGCTCAAACTCTTGAGCGAGCTCTTAACCAACTGAGCCACTTGGCCAGCCCTGAAAAATTATTTTTTAAAGAAGATTGTGCCAGTTCTTCCACTAAATTGGTGGGGAGATTGAATTGTGTTTTTAAGAAGCTATTTGCCCCTTGCTATTCAGATTATGAGTGATGGCTGTTTTGGGTAGCATGATAAGCCAGGTGGTTTTAGCTTGGAAAGCTGTAGGAATGAAAACCAAAATACTGGGGAAAAATGCATACTCGTATGTATCCAGTTGATAGTCTATACCAAGGTTTTTATAAATGAATTGGGAATTAATAAATTCATTTTTAATTTAAAATAGATCTCATAATTCCAAAATATGTCTCATACTTCCAAATAGAACAATAATAGAAAGGAAGAAAGTATAAAAGTCACAGAGTGGAAAGCACTGACAGTCAGGAAACCTGAATTCTAATTCTGGCTCTGTCCCTCTCTTTCTGGATGATTGTAGGCCTTTTCATTTTCTCATTTCTAAAACAGGATTAGATTACATAATTTTTAAGGTCCATTTTAGCTTTAAGACTGATTGTGTGATAACTTTGTAACTGAACAGTTCCTATCTATAAATTTCTATATCTATCTATCTGCTAGTGGCTTTTCTTGTGCTTTGGACTTCTTTATATCTTCTATCAATTGATATTTATATCTTCTAATCAATTGATAAGCAAAAATCTAGGGTTAAATTAAAAAATTGTCTTGACAGCCAATTTACTGTCAAGATATAATGAAATACCTTAGATTTTTATACAGTAATTGTGCACCCCTTAGACAAACGGGGATGTGCATCCAGTATTTTTGGCACCCCTTTTCATTTTGCTTAGGTGGATAAAACTCTAAATGTTTACCTCTTTTAGAAGCAGCAAGGTCAGATTCTAATGACCATTAAAACTGGCTTACATGCTGCCTTTTCTGAGAAGTCCGCACGATATATTCTTTATAAGATATTGATAGCTAATTTTCTTGATTATATTGCAAAGGAATGGAGGAACCTAATGCATTTTAAAGAGGAGATCAAATTGTTTCAATTCAGATGCAATAGGTATTACCACTGAAAGGAATGATCACATGATTGTAACAATGGAAGATAGTTTATATTCATTGAATGAAAAAGTGTCTGCAAAAGAGAAATAAAGTAGTCAAGAGAAGAGATGCCTTAAGAGTAGCATAGGGTTTTGCAGTGGTTCTATGATTTAATTTTTATTTGAAAAATATGAACCTTATTTAAGGTAAATATGAGAATTAATAATGGAAGTGGGAAGAAAAACATTTTGAGGTGTTTGGAGAACATTTACCTAATTAAGAAGTTAACTACTTTTCCATGTCATCATCTTTATCCCACTCCATTTTCCTCCTCCCAAAAAGTTGTTCTTGATCTGACTGATAGGTTTGATAAAGTAACAAGATTGAAATTTATGATATATACCAAATGATGATTTGTTCAGGGCTTTCCTAAGTCAATTCTCAAATATGAATTTCTCAGTTATGAATTTATTGAGTAGTTAGTTCTCAAGTATGAATTTCTTTTCTAACAGTCGCAGAGCCTGTTATTGCTGTGGTCAAAGCTGAGTGATAGACTGTGGTTTAAGTCAACTAATACAAAAATATCTTCAACCCTGCTGGTCGAGACAAGAAATCTTTATGGGGTAGTTGGAGCTGAAAGCAGGTTAGGCATCTATTAAACATCATAGAACAGGTTAGACTGTGGTTTGAAGACATGGATATTTCCCCATATTTTAACTAAGCGTATGTGCTTAAGTCTTCAAAATAGGATATATAGTTTTAAGTGAGGCTCTTTGGTTCTTCTGAAAACATACTTTTGTTTTCTGACAAATGGTTAACTTTATACCAGCTACATACTAATTTTTAAAGGCTCTCTTTCTAAGAGGGTAACCATTTATCAAAACAATCTGTGTCACCAAATGTGTTAGCCCTTTAAAATTGACATTTGTAAAATTTGGGAATGTTAATAATTCAACTTCTTATCCTCAAGGATTTAAAGTGACTGTTTTCCTCTCCTTTCTTTGTGTCTTTTAACTTATAATGACATATGGTATGCTCTAATCATTTTAAAGAAGTGCAGAGTTTGGTGTTCCTCTTGGCCATCTATTTTCTTAAAAACTCTGATTTCCCCAAGCTATTGGGAGAACATGTGCTGATAAGTACTGTTCTGTATATCTTGAGTAAGAAATGAAGAACTAAAAAACCTCTTTAAAGTTTAGTCGTATAGTGTTCTAATAGCTTAAGATTTTCTTTTTTAATCATTTATTTATCTTTGTTAGATGTTTCCTGACATGTTATTTTACATCCTATTTTAATAAAAACAAATTTTTCTGAGTTTTAATAAATTTTTTTTTGAGTCTTTGAGAAGTGTTAAGAAACACAAAATATTGAGAAATTTTTCATCTAGTATTGAGTTACTGAACACAGAGCCTCTGATTGCTCACAGATCTTTAGAGATAATCTACCGAGATACATTATTCTGTAGATTGCCAAAATCTAGTAAATCAGGAAACATTCTTGGTTCAGAACTCTGAAATGCTGACACAAAATGATATTTGGGTGGGCTGGCCAGTCCCTCTTTGCTTTTTCTCTGTCTGTTTCTGCTTTTTCCCTTAGGTCTGCACCTGTTCAGCATTTGTCAGGATGGGAAGAGGAGAAGCAGCAGGGTGAAACTGACCCATTTCTGGTGAGTTTCACTTTGCTGCTCCTCCTGATTATCAGAGAAAGAATTTTGTTACTTCCTATTGGAAAACATCCATCTCCAAGTGAATCTTTAAGATGAGATGACAATATTATTCCTTTAGGATTAACTCATTATTTGTATATGTTTTGTTTACTCCAGTCTGCAGCGGCCCTTTGTGTTGGAGTTGGGAGTTTTGCTGATCCGGATGACCTGCCTGGGCTGGCACACTTTTTGGAGCACAGTAAGATCTTTGTAAAATATCATTCCCCAAATGATATATTTTTTTCCTCCAAATTTGTATGTCTTGATTTCAAAGATAACTAACTGCTTTGATTGAAGTATATGTGTAACAAGAGAAAAGACTAAGAAAAAATCTTTATGCAGATCATAGGTGAAGACTTAATTTTAATTTTCTTGAATATACTTGTTTTGAGAATTAGAATGAAATTGTTTAGAAAACTATTTGAAAATGTAGATTTTATTATTATTCACATATGGTAGGGCCAACAGATCAGGCGACAGTTGCCAATCTCTAGGAATTGAGGCTATAGCCTTTGGTGGGGCAGTCTCTTCCAAGATTAGCCAGGCTCCAAGATGTCACAGCATTAGAAATACAGAAAATAAAAAGGCATGATTAATATAAAACAAAATAGAAAATATTCAATTTAATTATGAATGTATCTAACTAAAACCTGTGTGGATGCTATGCAGTTATAAATGTCTAAAGTATTTGTTTTCCTGAATTACTCATTTTTTACATTCTGATTTTCTAAGCTATTTGAGGGTGAACATCTCACCTTATGAGTTTTTATAGTAATAGTTAATCTGCATGTACCCTTATGTTTACATTTTAACTTATTTACAAATAAATTATATATTCCTTTTTTCTTTAAGAATAAAATGTTTAGTTTTTGAGTATAAAAGTAATATATGAGCATTATAGAAAATTTGAAAACAGAAGTGTAAGGAAGAAAGTAAATACTATCCAGACATAACCATTGTTAGTGTGTTGGTATATTCTCTTCTTATTTCTTTTTGCATATGAGAAATTTCATAATTGATAATAAAAACATTGTCTATATCTTTGTGTTGTGTGCTTTGTGTTTTTTCCACTTAGTGGTATTTATGGGTAGTTTGAAATACCCGGATGAGAATGGGTTTGATGCCTTCCTGAAGAAACATGGGGGTAGTGATAATGCTTCAACTGATTGTGAACGTACCGTCTTTCAGTTTGATGTCCAGAGAAAATACTTCAAGGAAGCCCTGGATAGGTAATTAACTCAAAATGTGTTTTTATTTTAATTATCTAATGACACCTTAAAAATTGAAATATTGGACATTGTTCTATGGTATTTCTTTTCAAGCAGTACTGTAAGTCTGTAGAATTGTCACAACACTTTATTTGAAGAAAAGAGTAAACTATTATTAAATACACCTTGGCTCTTAGTCTGTAATACTTAGTTTTTGTATTAAAGATTAAACTGAAACCCTTAAACATCTTTTGAGTTTTGTAAGTATTGTATTCACTATTCATTCATTATTGCAATTAGTCTTTCTAATTTAGTAGAAAGTGTGGAAAAACAGAGAAGCAAAAAAAAGGATAAGATTGTTCCTTAATTTTATAATCTAGAGATAACTATGGTTAATGTATTGGTATATAACCATCTATACTTTTTGCTATATCTGGGATCATATTGTTCATATCCTTTTATGTTTTTAAATAAGATATATCATTTTTACATATATAATTTATAAAACATGATTTTAAGTGATTGTGTATTATTTACACTGTACAGAAGTACCATAATCTGTTCAACCAGTTACATATTACTAGATAGTTGAGTTGTTTCCAGTTTTCTAGTATGGTAATATAATCCTAATCCTTATGTACATCCTTAATTATTTCTCTTAAGTTCTAATAAGTGAAGCAGCCGAAATAGCTCAGTTGGGAGAGCGTTAGACTAAAGATCTAGTAAGTGAAATTGCTGAGTATATTTGAATGTTTATTTTTCAGGCTTTTTTTGTAAAGCTTTTGATATTCACTGAAAAATTGTTTTCCAAAAAGTTTATATCGGTACATTAGTAGACTTTTCCATATCATATTAGATATGACTTCAGATTTGAAAAGTATAATGAAACCTCTTGAAGGCAGAGATATTGGTCTATTTTTGTTGAGATATCTCCTGCATCAAGAATTTGATATATACAAGGCATTTGTCGATGAATTAATACGTTTCCTTATAGAAAAAAATTACTATAAAATCAAAACAGAAATGATCAGAAAAACTCAAAACTTGGCAAAGACCTTGTTTTCTTAAAGAAATTGCCTCATCCCTTAAAAGATTAATTTGACCTGGAGAACTCTTTTGGGTAAATTCCTAGAAGTTGAAAGCATATGCCATTATCAATGGAATAAATATTTAATGTGTTTCCAAACCCCTAAATTAACAACTTTTTTCCAAATACAATGCCAAAAATCCCATTGAAAGGGACATAATTACTTTGATAACATTATTTATAATAGGATACAAAATGGTGGTTTTTCTTCACTAACCTATAATATGGCTCTGTCTGCCTGTGTTCAATGAACTATTTTATAGCTGTTTTTTGTTTTTTTTTAAGATTTTATTGAGGAATTGAGGGAGGGGAACTGCGCTGGGGAATCGGGGGAAAGGGAACAGACAAGTTGCTGTCCTTTTGTTCTTCAGTCTAGTTGTGGAGGACGTCACTTCACTGGCCCATGTTGGTATTATCACTGCACTCTCTCTGGGTGAGGCAGATCAGTCGCCGGCCTCTGGACGGCCGCTCACGGCGGCTCTTGGCAGCTCACACGGGCTGCTGGCCGCTCATGCTGGCTGCCAGCCACACATGGTAGCTTATGGCAGCCCATTGTAGCAGGGGCTGCAGTCCACGCTGTCGCCGGTGACTCACGGCAGACCAGCTCCAGGTTGAGCTGTTGTTCACCTCAACCTCTTAGCTGTAGAGGTCACAGCATCACTGGTCCTAATGTGGGGATCTGAACCGGGGCCCTGCTGCTCAGAGCTGGCGTCCCAAGCCAACTCTTAACCAATGCGCCACTTGGCCAGCCCAGTTCTTACACTTTTGATTTAAGGGTGGCTTTGGGAGATCAGAAGATATTTACGCATTTATTTCTACTAAAAAAAAAAAATGCTACTGGACTGATAAGAGAAATTAATAAGAATTTCAAATCATGAATTTGTGCCACAAATAGTGATAGAGCATAAGTATTTCATGTACTATAATAAATATGATAATAGCATACTTATATAGTTAGTAAGGAATAAAAAGTCTTTGGAACATTTGCAAAGGACTCATATAGCATGGAGTAAATGATGGTATTTCTTTTTTTTTAAAGATTTTTTTTTTAAAATTGGGGAATTGGGGGATGGGAACAGCACTGGGGAATTGGGGGAAGGGGAACAAACAAGTTGCTGTCATTTTGTTCTTCATACGTTGCTTCACTAGCCCAAGTTGGCACCATCATTGCCCTCTTCCTGGGAGAGGCAGATCAGTCGCCGGCTTCTGGATGGCCGCTCACTGCGGCTGCTGGTCGCTCATGCTGGCTGCTGGCTTCACACGGTAGCCCATGGCAACCCACTGCCGCAGGGGCTGCAGCCTACGGCGTTGCTGGCGACTCACGGCAGCCCAGCTCCAGGTTGAGCTGTTGTTCAGCATCTTAGCTGTAGAGGGCAGTGTCACTGGCCCTCATATGTGGGATCCGAACCGGGGCCCTTTGGCATCCCAAGCTAGCTCTTAATCAATGCGCCACTCGACTGGCCCATGATGGTATTTCTTATAGGTTAATAAAATCCAATTCCCTCAAACAGGTCACATTTTTATCGGTATCTTGGATCATTTAAGTAAAAGTTGAGGAAATGACTAAATTTTTACTCTAGTAAGTAAATGAGGATGGAAGCTGCTTCTGCCCTGGTGCCATTTTCAAATTTCAATAAATTTGAACTTTGTTTTATAAGTATTTCAGGGTGAGGGCAAGAAACATCAAAGCCCAGGACATCTACAAAGTGGAATATCTAACAGGAGACCCTCCTCATAATAAGCTGGTACTCCAAGAGACTTCAACCTTAGGTTGAGGAAATGAATTAGCCATCTTGAGGAATTATAGCCTACATTCAGAATTCCTGAATCTTCTGGTGAACCTCAAGCCTTGGTTGTGATTTAACATGGTCCAGAAGTGATAATGTTCTTAGATGCCCAAGAGAAGCAAACACTAATCCTCTCTAGAGGAAAATGCATTCATTCTAGGCCTTACATTGTTCCTATAAGTAGTTTTTCAAGTTAAATGACCAGCATTCAGTCAAACATAAGCTGGCACACAAGAAAACAAGACAATATGAATGAGGATAACAGAAAAAGATTTCTAATGCCTTAGAAATCTTATATATTGGAATGATTAGACACATATTCTAAAAATGATTATACTTTCTGTTTTTAAAGAAATAGGAGAAGTTTAAATATAGTTTGCAAGAAATAGGAAACTATAACATGTGACCTATAAGATTTTTAAAAAACCACAAAAAACATCTTGAGATGAGATATGATAATTGAAATTGAAAACCGAATAGTCAGGTTTAAGAAAAGAGTAGATATAGCTGAAGATAGAATTGGTAAACCAGAAGACAGGCCAAAAGAAATCTCAAAATGTAGTATAAAGAGAAAAAAAGATGAAAAATAACAGAAAAAAGGAAAGGAGGCATAGAGAATAGAGCAAAAATATTTGATATATATATATATATATATATATATATATATATATATACTTGGTATCCTAGAAGGAAAAGGAGAGATTAAAATGGAGTAGATACAATATTTGAAGGGTTGATCACTGGAAATTTTCAGCAGTATCAAATCACAGGTTAAAGAAGTCTAAAAAATCTAAAAGTATACATGAAAATAAATCCACATGTAGAAAAGCTTAGTGATACTACAGACAGCCAAATATAGAAAATCTTTGCCAGGTAAAAGGGCAAAATCATTTCTCATACAAGGTAATCTCAGTAAGGTAAACAGCTGATTTCCCATCAGAAACTATGGAGGCAAGAAGGCAATGGTATGACACATTCAAAATGCTGAAAGAAAAAGATTATAAACCAAGAATTCTATATCCACCAAAAATATTCTTCTAAATGGAGAAATTAAGATGTTCTCAGATAAATGAAAAACTGTTTGCTACTAGCAGATCTTCTCTACATGATATTAAATAGAGTCCTTTAGACTGAAATAAAAGGACACTCAAATCCACATGAAATAATTACTGTTTGCATGGTATATCTTTTTTCATCCTTTTATTAGTGTTTTTTGGTGTTTATAATCTAAAGTGTGTCTCTTGTAGACAGCATATATAGTTGAATTGTTTCTCTACCTATTCTGCCAATATCTGTCTTTTAATTGGAATGCTTAATCCATTCATATTTAATTTAATTACTGATAAGGTAGAATTTATGTTTGCCTTTGCTATTTTCTATAAGTCTTATGTCTTCCCCTCTATTCTTCCATTGCTGACTTTTTGTTAAAAATATATTTTCTAGTGTACCATTTTAATTCCCTTTTCATTTCTTTTACTATAGTTTTGTTATTAACTAACACCTGAATTTATAATAATCCATTTTGAATACCAACTTAGTTTCAGTAGTACATAAAAACTTCGCTTTTATTTACCTGTTCTTTCTCCCCTCCTTTGTGCTATTATTGCCATACAAATTTTGTCTTTATACATTATATGCCTATCAACACATATTTTTAATTTTTGCTTTATACAGTCAGTTGTCTTTTAAATTAGATAGAAAAAAATTACAAAAAGTATATACTATCTTTTATATTTATCAATGTAGTTACCTTTACCAGTATACTTTACACTGACATTGAGTTCATGGAAATGTATGCAAGGTCAGTGCTATAAAACTATGGTGGATAGATGACTGGAGGACTTTCAAATGATTACTTTACTTTGAAGTCATCACTACAGGTGGTCTACTTGTGCCAGTTGGTTGCCATTGGCTACCTTGTGGATGTTGTTTGTGTTTGATCCTCCTTGCTTTTGTATGTGACTTTAGTTTTTAGAATTAAATACAAATATTCTATTTTTTAATTTAATTCATCAAAAGTTACTCAACCCATCAGTTATACCAAGTACTGAAAAGAAAAAATGTTGACAATATCTTAATGAATGTCTAGTAGTAGCTAGTTAAAAGTTTCTTCTCAGCTCAAGCAAAAGTTAAAAGTTAACAAAATATTGTAGGAAGTTAATTTTTTCCATCATTTTACTTTTGCTGGGAAAACTAATTTTTAAAAATTTGATTGTATTGCATTATATAAATGGTAATTTGCATATATAATTTGATACATCACGATTTATGTAAGTAAGTTACATTAAATAACAATTACAGTTATAAAATTTAGTGAACTATTACTAGCCTTTCAAATTTTTTTAACTTAAGAATTTTAATTATTTGTAACCATGCATTGAATAAAAAGAGTAAGCTTATCGCTTTTTATATATAAAACCACAGATACACATACAGTATATAAGCAGACCATGTATCTGTGGTATTAAAATTTCATAGTGGCGTGATTAGGAGAAAATTTCTGAAAAGTCTCCTTAGGGTTGATAATGGAAAAAAAAAATCGTCAAGAAATACTGGTCTAGAAATACATATATGGTTGCTAAAACTATGAAGAAAAGCAGAGAAGTGATTACCATAACATTTAGAGTGTTAACTCTGAGAGTAAGGTAGGTGTTGGGTGCTTCTAGAGTTCTGACGGTAGTTTGTTTCTTGGCCTGGGTGGTGGCCACTCAGGTATTGACCTTATAGTTATGCATTAATCTGTATATTTATGTTTTATATACTTTTCTGTGTGTTATATTTAATAATGAAAAAAGTAGTTTGTAGACTAAAATATAAATGTGCAGAATACTGTTTAGACTTTACATATACATGATTATGAACTAAATCTCCAACTTAGTAAAATTTCTTAATTACAAAGTAAGATGTTGACTGATGAAAAGCTTTCCTGAACAAAAACAGAAATGCCAGGTTTTTGGTTTTTTCTTTTAGATGGGCACAGTTCTTCATCCATCCACTAATGATCAGAGATGCAATTGACCGGGAGGTTGAAGCTGTTGATAGTGGTAAGAGAAGTGGTAACATATGCCTTACCACTTTTTCCTTTATTGAACCAGTGATTTAGCACATTTATCATCCTTTATCACTAGATCATTTTATCTTTTTTTTTTTTAAACGCCCTTTTTTTTTTAATTGGGGAACAATGTTTTTCTAGGATCCATCAGCTCCAAGTCAAGTAGTTGTTTCAATCTAGTTGTGGAGGGCGCAGCTTCAGTGGCCCATGCGGGGATTGAACCGGCAACCTTGGTGTTATGAGCACTGTGCTCTCTAACCAACTGAGCTAACTGGCCGCCCCCTAGACCATTTTATCTTTAATATCATAAAGGGCTAAATTGAAATAGATGTGTCATGTTTATTCCTGAAGCCGTTAAAAATGTATAATTCAGTATAGATTTGAAATAAAATCAAAAGGATGGTAGATTTTTGTTTTTTGCAGCCTTTGTTTTTTGAGGGTTTTATAATAGTGACTTAACTTGCAGGTCAGGAGTCTAATTCTTAAAGCTAATACAGGGCGAGGCAGATCAGTTGCAGGCTCCTGGATGGCCGCTCACGATGGCTGCTGGCTGCTCACGCTGGCTGCTGGCTACACATGGTAGCCCATGGCAACCCACTGCAGCAGTGGCTGCAGCCTACACTGTCGCCAGCAACTCCAGGTTGAGCTGTTGTTCAGCATGTTAGTTGTAGAGGGCAGTGTCACTGGCCCTCATATGTGGGATCTGAACTGGGGCCCTCTGGCGTCCCAAGCCAGCTCTTAACCAATGTGCCACTCGGCTGACCCTGAAAACACATTTTAAGAAAGGAAAATACTGTATTAATGTATACTGATAACAAAAGATGAATACAAGTCACATTTGACTTCTGCAATTACAAGAGATGCTCAGAGTGGTTATCATCAGTGTCCAGACACTTCTGATTATGGCCAACTACTGCTTGAGCAACATTAATCAAAATGTTATCATCTCTTAAAATGTGAATAGATATTTTTGGCACCCCTGGTATTTTATTATATTTTGAAATATTATAAAGAAATAGAGACACACATATACATATGTGATATATGATATATACATATACACATACGCATACAATAAGTAGTTTTGGATTAAGATGAACTTAAGCTAAAAGCTGTGTTTTTTGTTTTTGTTTGTTTTGGATGACGAGAGACCTATATTTCAATTTATGATCTGATATAAATAGCTAGGTATATGTTATTAGTCATTTAACCTTCTGAATATGAAGAATTCACTTGAGTTCAGGGAGATGGGGAAAGCGCATAATTTTTTTTTTTTTTTTAGCTGAGCCATCCTGCCACCTGTTGGCAGCTCAGCGGCAGCTCAGCTCGGGCAGGGCATCGAACCGCTGTTGCTCAGAGCTTGCACTCTTGAGCGAGCTCTTAACCAACTGAGCCACTTGGCTGGCCCAAGCTCTTAAATTTTAATTGGTGTAATAAACTACATTAGTATTCATGAACCAGTTTTGAAAGCTCGGTAATCAGTTATTATTTTCTTCTGTTCAGAAGTGATGTTCAGGTCTTTCTTATATCATTCTTGTCTCATTCATGTTTTTCTATCTCCAGCAACAAGTTCAGTAGTAATACCTGCCACATAGTAGATGTTCAGTAAATATTTGTTAAAGAAATATATCTATCTTATTTCAGCCTTGTAAGAATCCTATGAACTAGGTACCCATTTTATAGAAGCAGAAATAAAATCAGGGAAGTTCAGATAACTTCCTCAAGGTTGTACAGCTTAGTAAATGTCAATGTGGATTCTAGCCAAGATATTTCTGACTTCAGTGATTGTTCTAAACCATTAATACTTTCTTACCATATAGTCTTTTGCAGGAAATTTAAACGGTATATATGACAAAGTTCCCAGATAATAAAGAATTTGATTTAGCATTTCATTAGCACTTTCATCAGTAAAATCTTGGGCCTATCATCCTAGAGTTGAAACCTTCAGATCATTAACTACCTTGTTTTATTTGAAAATAAGGGAAAACCTCTAGCCAGGTGAACTGATTACACAAAATTATAGAATATTTTAAGTCATAGAGCCTGGCCTAGATCCTTGAGTTCCCCACTTCAGTCTTATAACACATGATTCATAAAATTAATTTTTGTTACGTTTTAAATTTCATTTCTGTAAGCTTGAATTTCCAGATAATAAAGCAGATAGTGAATTTCATTTTATTAAAAGTGTTTCTTTAAAACTGACAGAATATCAGCTTGCAAGACCCTCTGATGCAAACAGAAAGGAAATGTTGTTTGGAAGCCTTGCTAGACCTGGACATCCTATGGGGAAATTTTTTTGGGGTAAGATACTAAATACTTCATCTTATTTCATATTTTCTAGTTAAGGAAGATTGAGAATATAAAAAGTTGATAAAAAATGGAAAATTGTGGGGTAAAGGTAGGTAATGTAAAAGGTAGAGTAGCTAGGTACCTTTTACCTTTTAGGGTAGGTAGGTAGCTTTTCAAATATAATGCCTATATTTGGTTCTCTAACAGTGAATATATCAAGAATAGCACCTAACATTTTGTGAATGCTTTCTGGGTGTCAGATACTCTGCTAACACTACATGAATTATCTCATTCATCATCATAACAATGTTATGAGCTGGGTATCATTATCATCTCCATTTGAAGTTAAACAGGCTAAGGGAAGTTATTTAATTTGCTTAAATCACACACTGGTGGATGTGGGATTTGAACCTCTGTTTATTTGATTATAAAGTCTGTGTTCTACCCCAACCTGACATTTCCATTCATCAACAGAGATTCAGCAATGATTTCTCTAATAGTTTTTGAGCTGTGACCTAATTTTGTTTAACTGGTAAGCTGCTTAAATGGTATCTGTTTTTCATAAAGGCTTTTTCTTAGTGTTAGGATCAGTTATAGACTCATATTAATCCTCTTGACCAAAGAGTGGAATCTGGGATGAACTGATTTAAATAGGAGTTCATTCAGAGGATGTTTTGCTTCCCTGAATATATTGTACAGTTATATACATTTTATATGGAATCTTTGCTTTATGTGGTTTATTTTTAAGAATTATGCAGAATATTATTAAAATAAGAGATAAATCCTGAATTGAATAGCAGACTAATTATTAAGAAAGGAAGTGTAAGGCAATTGTTGCTAAGGTTTTACCAACTAGAGATTAATTTCTTACGTGTTAAAAGAGACTTTGAAATTGTTTCTTGGGAATTTTTGTTTTATTGATATTGTTATTTTTATTATTACACACCAATTCAATATTCTTGAATCACTTAGCTTATTTTATTAATTATATATAGTAGCAGAGCATGCATTGTTGGTATAGAGACTTTTAATACAGTAAACTTTGTTATATCTATAATCTTTTTCATCTTTTTATAGGAAATGCTGAGACTCTCAAACATGAGCCAAAAAAGAATAATATTGATACACATGCTAGACTAAGAGAATTCTGGATGCATTACTACTCTGCTGATTACATGACTTTAGTGGTTCAGTCCAAAGGTATCATTACCTACTATGTCCCTCAGAATTACTCTAAAGTAGTACTTTCTTAGGATTTGTTTGCCTTGATCAGTGTTGCAGTGTACTGTTAATTACTTTAGTGTGTGATCCTAATATGAACTAAAGGAAATCAGAATTCGGAGAGGTCAAAAGCTCAGGGAAGCACAAAATCATCTGATTCTCAGGCAAATGTTTTTTTCTTTCTTATAGATACAGGTCTTATCTCTAAGCTAGTCTTTGAGTATACTAATGTACTAATAGGTCATAAATTCATCTGTTAAGTTACATTCAGCTGCTGCCTCTTCTCTCTCGTTTTGCATTTAATCGATATTGATTATAAACCCTTACAGGGGAAGGTGTCTGTCTTTCATCCTTATATAGGGTCTACTAAAATGGCATTATTAATTGAATTCCATCATGGTGATGCTGGTAGAAGTATCTTAAATGTAAAATACTGATCAGTACCTTTATTTTTTTCCACCTTTTATCATTATCTTCAGTAACTTGTGTTAACTTTTTCTCATTTAAGATATCATGGTAGCTTTCTTTTGTTTTCTTTTACATTTCAATCAACTTAATCTGTTTTTCAAAGTTAATAAATTGCTAAACTATTCCTTTTGACATACCTTATAGTTTGCATATTTTCTTTTTCAAAACTAACCCTCTCATCTTTTTTTTTGTTGTCGTTAGATTTTTAAAAATTTTTATTAGGGAATTGGGGTAGGGTAACAGCATTGGGGAATTGAGGAAGGGGAACAGATAAGTTGCTGTCATTTTGTTCTTCAGTCTAATTGTGGAGGATGTTGCTTCACTGGCCCATGTTGGTATTATCATTGCGTTCTTCCCGGGTGAGGCAGATCAGTCACCGGCCACTGGATGGCTGCTCACAGCGGCTCTTGGCAGCTCGCGCAGGCTGCCAGCCACTCATGGTAGCTTATGGCAGCCCACTGCAGCTTCACTGCAGCCTATGCCGTCGCTGGCGACTCACGGCAGCCCAGCTGCAGGTCGAGCTGTTGTTCACCATCTTAGCTATAGAGGACAGTGTCACTGGCCCCCATGTGGGATCTGAACCAGGGCCCTGCTGCTCAGAGCTGGCGTCCCAAGCCAGGTCTTAACCAACACACCACTCAGCTGGCCCCTAATCCTCTCATCTTAATATGAGTCTGTTCTTTACAAAATTTTGCTCTTTCATTATCAAAATTAAGATCAGAGCCGACTTAGCACTTAAGTATAAAACATTTTTAGGATCAAAATTAGTCCACTAAATTTGACTTGAATGTAAAGTTATGAATATGGTGTGGTAGAAATGGGCATTTAGATACTTTTTACAACATTTGCTTAGAATAGGCAATTTCATATTCAGTATGTAATATTAATTTATAGTTTTTAATTTTTTTTTTTTTTTTTAAGATTTTTATTGGGAATTGGGGGGATGGGAACAGTGCTGGGGAATTGGGGGAAGGGGAACAGACAAGTTGCTGTCGTGTTTTTTTTTTGTTGTTCTTCAATCTAGTTGTGGAGGATGTTGCTTCACTGGCCCAAGTTGGCACCATCATTGCGCTCTTCCCGGGCGAGGCAGATTAGTCGCCGGCTTCTGGACGGCCGCTCACTGCGGCTGCTGGCCGCTCACGCTGGCTGCTGGCTACACATGGTAGCCCATGGCAACCCACTGCCACAGGGACTGCAGCCTACGCCGTCACCGGCGACTCATGGCAGCCCAGCTCCAGGTTGAGCTGTTGTTCAGCATCTTAGCTGAGGAGGGCAGTGTCACTGGCCCTCATATGTGGGATCCGAACCGGGGCCCTCTGGCATCCCAAGCGAGTTCTTAACCATCGCGCCACTTGGCCGGCCCTATAGTTTTTAATTAATTATTGTTTCTAAATCTGTCATGAACACACATTTTTCTTCAGCTAGGTATTGTTTCTTTTGCGTTCTCTTCCTTTGTGATGACAAATATAAGAGCATATTAATGATTGTTGCAAATTTACCTTGTACTATCTAGACTCAATTGATTTTGGAGATTTTGCATTTATTATACTGTTTAAAAGTTAAATATTTCTGTAAGTAGTATAGAATAAATTCAGAACTTGATGAGTGTAATTTACATCTTGTGTTTTATATCTTGGGTCATTTCATTTGAGAACTAGTGAAACTCATGTTTCTGGTTGAATTAACAAACACTATCCAGTGATAGTACTGAGTCACTGGGATAAAGCTAAAAGGTTTCCTTTTTCATTTAGATCTCCTGTTTTAGTAGAAATTTCAAAATAATTTCTTATGAAATAAGCAAAGAATTAAAAGTAGAAATCATATATATATAATTCATATATATAGAAATCATTTATATATAGAAATTTTATATATATATATATATGGAACCTAAGAAATTATATATTTATATATATATATATATATATATATATATATATATATATATATATATATATATGGAACCTAAGAAGAAGACTTATGGATTAAAACCTCAGCAAGTGTAAGTTAATGTAAAATAAATGGAGTATAAAAGTACTCATGAGATGCCAAGAAGAAGGGTAAGTGTAGTATGGATTAATTGAGAGAAAACTTCCTAGAGGATGGTTGGTATATTCTTATCTCTTGGCCCTTCACACTAGCCTAATGATAAAAAAAAATATATATATATATATATATATATATATATATATATTTTTTTTTTATTATTTTTTATTTTTTATTGTGTGCTTTTTCTAACTTTACCTTGGAGAAATAAAGGATTCTAACAAAAATATATGTGTCTTAAGGTTTTCTTAACTATTGTTATTTTTTGTTACTTATTACTGGCAGGCAATGCCCAGGATTAAAGTATCCCTTTGTTTTATAGTTAAAGATCTGTGAGAAATCTAATTGCATTTCTGCCTTCAATAACAACATTGCACTTTCCTGTTTCCTTCCTGCCCTCTCCCCAAGAAACACTGGATACTTTGGAAAAGTGGGTGACTGAAATCTTCTCTCAGATACCAAACAAGTAAGACATTTATTTTCATTAATCATACGTTTTTAAAGAGGTCTTATCCTCTTGTATAAGTCCCAAAGGTTTTTTTCTTTTGGTTTGTTTTTTAAACAGGTGATTAAGACCTAAAGTGGTTTAGCAAGATTGCACAGCTTTTGAGTGGGAAAACTAAATCAGAACCCACATTTCTGTAGTTGCTGTAATTCAAAATTTATAAGCTTGTAAATTTGTAGTAAGGGGTAATTCTGAAGAATTTATGTCTCTTTTTATATTTATTCAGAGCTTTTCTGTTACTGTAGAGAGTGAAACTGTGATATGAAAGCAAGTATTGTTTTTGAGAGGCAGAATATATATATATATACTTGTATCCCCTTCCTGAAAACAAATTGTATTTTGAAAGTTTGTTTTTTAAGTCATTTGTTTGAAACTTGGAATGCTTTTCCCCATAAAAGAAATAATCTTGTAGATGATGATTGACTTTGCATACTCTCTGAAAAGTCAATTTCATATAGTTGAACCAAATTATCTTTTATTAGAAATTGTATATAGTATGGTTCCAGTACAGAAAGCTATTTTTTTGTGTACCTCAAATTCATCAAAATAATACAAATATTTAAAAGATACTTTATTGTTACAAAAAATATAAAAATTTTAATTCTGAAGCAATTAAGTCTTTTTCCCACTTCTAGCAGTTCACATTTTTTGTAAAATAAATGAAATCAGTTTTTTTTCTTGTATCAGGTGAGTAAGCTAGACTTTTTCCATTTCTTCGTTCCAAGACATAATTTATTTTAAATTTATGAAAGAAAACTTTAAAATGTTAAAATAATTTGTAGTAACAACTGATTATTTATTATTTTCTTGGCTTTATGTTAATTTCCACTGATAATTAGCAGTACTTTTTATGTATGAAAAGATAATGAAAGCCATGCCAAAGTTGCAGGGTTGTTTTATTTGTTTATTTTTGTTTTTTGTTTTTACTAAGAAATTAGTATGAGCTATAGAAAAGTCAAGTGGCAGATTGAAACTTGTTTCACTGAAACTTTTTAGTAAAATCAAATGTATATTGAATAGAGGGTCCTGTCAATTCATTAGGTCCTGTCAATCCCTCATAAGCATTTAAAAAAATTCTCTTAAATAACATTCATTAATAACTTTAGTTCCTTATTCAGATGGTTAAGAAGTCTTCTAGGTATTTAATTCATAATGCCCATGTTTTAGAAGAATTAATTACGGCATCTTCAACTAGATGGGAAGTCTAGAAGGAGAGTCCATGCCTTTTAAATACCATAGTGCCTAAAATAGTGCTTTTTACCTGATAATCACTCCATATATATTTGTTGAGTTAAAAAAAATTATCTCTTGTATAAGTTTTTTTCCCAAATGGCTTTGTATAGGAGAAGAAATGAAGTAGAATGTGTTGAGACAGAAAATATTGGGAGGAGAGATCCCTTTAATTTATTGTTTTATATTTCTTGTGAGTTTTAAAGATGTTTGAATTATTGGGACTGAGGTTAAGAATAGGTTGTATAGTTCAGGATTTTGTGGCTTTGTTGCCATCTATTCACTTATATCTAGAATGCTATTCAGCCAAGAGTATGTAGAATAGATTATAAATACCTATCAGTCAGGTATAGGTATCCCTAAAGATACTGCTTATAAAGGCTTTTGCCAATTAAATTTTAATATATTTGTTTTATTTTCAGTGGGTTACCCAAACCAAACTTTGGCCATTTAACGGATCCATTTGACACACCAGCATTTAACAAACTTTATAGAGGTTCGTGAACCAAAGGTTTAAAACTGTTTGAAATAACTTGAGCGCATTCTCTAAAACTTAATTGAGGCTGCCAATTTTCTTTGAAAATGGGAACACAACAGAAAGTACAGCTGGGTTGGAAAAGGGAGTAGATGGACTGTAGAGATCCAGTTAGCTACTAACTAGCAGCAGATTGATTGGTCTGCTGCTACTTGGGTCTGTTTCATGCTTTCCCCCTGTTTTTCCCTTGTTCCCTTTTGTTCATTGTTTTTTTTTTGTTTGTTTGTTTTTATTTCTTACCTATTTCATTTTATCTATATTCTGCTCTTTTTTGCCTTTAAAAAGAGAAAAATAGAGGAGGGGAAAACACTTTGGAAATTATTTCCTTTTATCTTTATTATGAAAACAATTTTGTTAAGTGAAGAAAAATTTAAAGTATAAAACAATTGGGGTGTTGCAAATCATCCCTAAATCTTACCATCCAGAGAAGTCATTTTGGTAGATTTCCTTTTGAGTTTCTGTAGGTATATTTTCTTAATGTAATTGAGATTCTGAAGATATATACACGTCTATCTTTTGCTTTTTCATTTAATACTACATTTGTAAGAACTTCCCAATGAGTCATCACATGGTTATTTGTCCGTATTGAATTTTGCAGAAACATTCTTCACCATTTCTCTTTCTTTGCTCTTTTTATCATGGCAGATTTTTTTCTCTTTCTCCTAATTACCTAAGTGTTCCCTCCTCCTCCTCCTTCACCCCATTTACAGTTTCTTTCTTCTTCCCTCCCTATGATAAATAATTTTTGTCACACCCGTTATCTGCTGCTGGTTCCATTCTACTTAAGCTGACTCTCCTAGAGACAACTTATTTTCAGCTGTATTTTTTCTGGCTTTAGATTTTCTCATCATAGAATCACAAAATAATAGCCCTGGGAAGAATCTTAGAGCAACTTCAGCCTAATCCACTTACCATATCATAAGAAAACAAATTCAGAAAGATTTAAATGCAAGTGATTTTCTCAAGGTCATAGAACACATATAGCAAGATGGTGGTAGGGATGGATTTCAACCATGGGTCTCCTGACTCCTACCTAGTCCTGTATGCTTTCTTGTAAGAAGGGATCCATCCTAAGGAGCATTTAATATTTTGATAATTCTTTTATCTATGCTTTCTCTACCTATGAATCGAAATTGAAAAGAAATTCACAAAAATTGCACTGTTCAAATTGGAAAATTGGCAACTTGAAATATATTATAATTGCATTGTATTTAACCTTCTCCTATTTATTGGAGGAAGAAATATATTGAATTAAAAAAATTCATGTAACATAGTAAAAGTTATGGAGGAACTCTTATATCTATTCTTCTGAAAAATATTTTTTAGTTGTTCCAATCAGAAAAATTCATGCTCTGACCATCACATGGGCACTTCCCCCTCAACAGCAACATTACAGGTAAGAGTTCAAAGGCAAGTTTACTCCATTAGTTACTGAGAGTCATAGTTTTAAAGCATATTAAATGGTTTAAATTTGGAGGCTCTGGATTTATAAACACAAGACTTGGACCTCACTGGTCTGGGATTTTTCAAGCCTTTTAATGTCTTCTTGGTTATAAAAACTAGAGCTTACTTATAATTAGCTACCTTTTCTGAGCCTTTGAAATTAAGTATCTTAGTGTGAATACTTACTTTTATAATTATTTCCCTGAGTATTTTGAGTACAAAATATATTTTCTTATGATTCATTTGCCAATGGTGACCTTATAGTTTGATCTTGTCAAAAGTAAATTTAAATAATTTTGAGCCTGGAATACGACTACAGCATAAATCTCAAGGACTTACTCCTATGAGTGGGAATGACTGAGGGCAGATTTTTACAAATTAGGGAAACATTTACACTTACATCATTATCTTATTTGAACAGTATAGCATGGGCCAAGACATTCTTTAAAGATAAGGATCAGTCAATGCCTACAAATGCTTTTCTAATTAGAAACAAGTGGTAATGAACTGATAAAAATTTAATCTATTTTTAATTTTTTTTATTATTATTTTTTTTAGCTGAGCCATCCTGCCACCTGTTGGCAGCTCAGCAGCAGCTCAGCTTGAGCCCGGACTCGAACCGCTGTTGCTCAGAGCTCATACTCTTGAACGAGCTCTTAACCAACTGAGCCACTCGGGCGGCCCTAACCTATTTTTTAAAACCATTGCTAATGAAACAAAACCATGAGGACAGACACACAAGCATATGGAAAGGAAGTACTGTGTATTGCTTAAGCTTAGTAAAAAATGCTTTTTTAAAAAAGTATATGTTAGAATATTCAAACAAGTCCTATAAAGTTAATAACAGTATGCCTGCTGTGAGACAGCAGAGAACATGTATTGTCTACTTGCTTTTGGTGCAAGGATAGTATATGAAAAAGTACTGATTGAGTAGTTATGTTAGAGTGTCCCCAAAAGTGTTAAAAGTATAATATGCATATTTAAAAGCTTATTTTATTTGTTTTAAATTTTTACTATGAAAATAATACATGCTTATAAAACATTAAAATAGGATGAAAGGAGAAGCACAAATTGGCAGTTACAAAACAGTCACGGGGATGTTAAGTACAGCATATGGAATATAGTCAATAATATAATAACTATGGTGTCGGGGGGTACTAGACTTATCAGGGGGATCACTTTGTAAGTTATATAAATGTCTAACCACTATGATGTACACCTGAAATTAATATAATATTAAATGTCAGCTGTAATTAAAAAAAAAGGGACAGAAAGGTACTAAGTAAAAAGTCAAGTCTGCTTCTCCTTTTCTTGGTCTCTGTCCTCAAAGATATGCCAAATATTAATAATTTTATATCCTTCAAACATTAAAATAATGAACATAAAAGATGTCTTACTTGTGTAAATGGAATTATATATACCTTCCCTTTTTTGGCATTACCTATTTTCTTAATTAACAAAGCCTGTTTTTACCCTCTGATTACTAAGGTAGTTCATTGTAGAAATCTTGAAAATACTGAAAAGTAGAAAATATTCATTCATGATTCTGTTTTCTAAATACTGTTAACATTTCTGTATGTTTCCATCCAGTTATTTAATTTTTGTACTGTTTATTTGTTTTAACATGATGTTGTATCCCCAAATATGTGAATTTCCAGTAAATTAGCTTTTTGGGGACCCCCTTTTTTTTTTTATACAAAAATTTATCCCTCCAGAGTTATCAAATACAGTACAGTTGGCTTTGTTCAGATGCAAATGTATAATCAACTGGATTCATTCATTAACTGATTTGTTCTCATCCATCAGTCTTACTACAGATATAATTCAAGTTCATATTTTAAACATTGTTGTGTGGGCTTTGGGGATTGCTTAACATAGTTTAAATCATAATATTATATTTTGACTTCAAGAATTTACTGAATATACTTCTGTGAACTAATTTTAAAATTTGAGAGTGTTTAGATTTCCTAACTCAAGTCTATATATTTTTGTTTTGGTAGGAATACATTTTTGAAATTATAGTAGAAGCCAGTGGGAAAAGACAATTTGAATAGAATATATACAACTACTTAGATTATTAAAGTATAATATATTATTATATAATTAAGCATTTTATACCTGTTATGCATTTTCATAAAAAAACAAAACAAAAACCCTATGAGTAAGTAGTTAGGTAAGTGAAGAGAAAAAGAAAAATATAGAGAGGCTGAGCTTCTCGGTCAAGATCATGCACTTACTTAAAGGAAAAACTAAAACTACATGCTAGATTTTCTGATCCTTAAAGCAGCACATTTCAGTTTACCACAGAGACTGATGGAATACTGAAAGCTTTTACAAATGGCAGAGTGATTCATATTGCATTAGTTTCTAAAATGGTAAAGAATCTATATTATTTTCATTTTGAGTAAAACAAAATTGTAAGATTTTACTTTACCGTAAAAAGAAGTAATTTTTGTGTCCAAGAGAAAAAGTAGTAGTCTTAAATTTTGGAATGATTGCTGTACTTATTCAGTATTTCAGATGAAGAAGTTAAATTTTACTATGTTTTCTGTCTTTATCTAGATATCAAATTAGTTATAACTGTATGTTTAGTAGAATTTATGTGAGAATAAATTTATAATCATATTCTTAAATATCATTGTCTTAACAGTATGATTTTTCTGGTGTATTTTAATACTTTAATTTTTAAAATTTCTGACCTTCATATTTTTTTAAAAGGGTGAAGCCACTTCATTATATCTCTTGGCTGGTTGGACATGAAGGCAAAGGCAGTATTCTTTCTTACCTTAGAAAAAAGCAAGTATTAATAACATGTAGCAATCTCTCAAAAAGAAAAGACAATAAGTGTTATATAATCCATTTTCTTCTCTTTGCTTTATCTGCCAGGAAGCCTAGAATCAAATCTAATGCTTAATTATAGTCACGTTAATAACGTAGATTATTTTACTGGCTATATTATGTTTGTGTATTTCCTTGGGAGCACCCTTTTAGCCCATGTTGGAAGTAGTTGTACATAAAATTAAAATAAAATCATAAACTAATAGATTCCAGAATTACATAAATGATTAGCTCTAATCAAGAATTTAGATTTGATAGTAAGGAAGTTAGTTATTTAAATGCTGTGGATCTCTAAGCTTTCCCAACCCAAAAGGTAAACTTTAATCAGAACTTCATTGGGCAGATAAGTCATAATAAATACGTGGGACTGACCAGTATATGCAGCCATGTTAGCAGAATATTTCCTAATGCAGTTTGGTACTCGTTTAAGTTGTCAAGCCAAATAATAGAAATATAGCTTTAGAGTCAGGGCCAATACATTCAAGTAATTCCTTGATTGATTTCTCGATGCACTAATTCAAGAATGGAAAGGTAGGTGAGAAATTTAAATAAGTACTTTAAAACAGTAAGTGTGTACTAGCGCATTTAAAGAAAGCTGAGAGGGCAGGGTTATTATAAAAGAGTAATGATATTGGGTACATATATGCCTTACACAGTAAATGTAAGTAAAGCTTTGAGATGTACATAATTTATTCTTACTGAATTTTATTATAATTTGAGACTATTCTGGCTTCCTGTCTCCTTATTTTAGGTTTTTAATATTGTGTTGTTCTCATCAACAAAAACTACTATGGCTTCATAAAACTGTTAATGTTTTACTATTTTGCAACATATATTAGTGTTTCTATTAAACAAATAAATGTGGCTATTATTTCCTTCTAGTGATTCTAGCATGCACTACAATTCCTTGGGGGGCTTTGTGCTTTTAAAATTTGTGCTTTTAAACTTATTATTGGAAAACATGTTTGCATCAAAGGCAGAACTTCCCAAATTTTACATAAAAAACCTATTTTGTTAATTTGATGTATTTGTAGATTATCAGTCCCAAGATATTGATTGGATTAATTTTTCCCCTCACTGTAGGTGCTGGGCGCTTGCGCTATTTGGTGGAAATGGTGAGACAGGATTTGAGCAAAATTCTACTTACTCAGTGTTCAGCATTTCTATTACATTGACTGATGAGGGTTATGAACATTTCTATGAGGTAAATAATTAAAAAGGGAGAGTTTTGAAATATAGATATCACTTTATGCAAAAGTATAATCAGAAGTTTTGTTTTTAGGTGGCTCATACTGTCTTCCAGTATTTAAAAATGCTGCAGAAGCTAGGCCCAGAAAAAAGGTAATATATGCTTTTTAGAATTCGGCCAGGAGTCAATCCTAGCATGTTTTAGCCTTTCAGCTGCTAATAGACGTGCTTTAGTCCTGCCTTGATCCTTTTTTCAGGCATTTCCTGCCTAATTTCTTTTACTGGCTTCATATTCTTGTTCCTTTACATGTGAATGTAGGTTTATGTGGCCAATTAAAGGTTTACATGGCCACTCTGTTTATTTTTATGCTTGTTTTTTTCTTGCTGATGATGCTAATTAGAAATTTAAATACGTATTCTAATTGTAATTATCTTTTTTCACAGAATTTTTGAAGAGATTCAGAAAATTGAGGATAATGAGTTTCATTACCAAGAACAGGTACTAGAAGTCAAATTCTTTTTGAATGTTTTCTGTGACCAAGTTGAAACTGGTATGGACATTGTTCCTTTTTTTGGCAGATCCTTAAAAAGTTAAACATAGATTTCCCATATAAGCTAGCAATCCCACACCTAGGTGTACACCAAAGAGACCTGATGATGTACGTCCACACAAAAACTTGTTATGCAAGTTTCATAACAGCATTATTCATTATAGCCAAAAAAGTGGAAACAACCCAAATGTCCATCCATGAATGAATGGTTACACAAAATGTAGACTATGCATACTATGGAATTTTATTCAGCAATTAAAAAGAAATAAAGTATTGATTCGTTCTACAACATGGATTAACCTTGAAAACATCATGTTAAATGAAAGAAGCCAGACATGAGTCACATATTCTATGATTCTGTTTATATGAAATATCCAGGATAGGTAAATCCATAGAGACAGAACACAGATTGATGGTTGCCAGTGGCTGAGGGGAGGGGGTGATTAGGAGCAACTGCTTAATGGGTATGGGTTTCCTTTTGGGGTGATGAAAATGTTCTGGATCTAGATAATGGTGATAGTTGCACAATTTTGGGAATACACTAAAAACCACTGAATATGCTAAAAACACTTTATTTTTTATTATTTTATTTTATTTGGTGGAAAGAAAAGCAGGTTTATTCAGAATTCCGGCATTCTGGGAGGATGGCAGACTCCTGTCCAAAGGCCAACTCCCTTTATTTTTATTTTTTTAATTTTATTTATTTTTATTTTTTATTGTGAAATACACATTTTTTAGAATTAGTTTCAGCTGTACAACACAGTGCAATAGTTATACTTTTTACCCCTTGAAGTGACAA